TTTAAGTAGGTTTGAGATCATCTGAGCTGGTTTGAGGGGTTCTGAGCAGGGTTGATGGTGTTTAGGCAGGTTTTAAGTAGGTTTGAGGAGGTCAGACTCACCCAGAGCAGACCGGATGTATTTGTGTTTGACCGTGTCTGTGCTCCGCGCCGATCTTCCGGTTCGCTGCAGCTGCCGGATCCGCCTCTGAACGCCCTGTTTCTCGCTGCTAATCTGCTCCATCAGCGCAGACTTACGAGAGCTGCTCTTCTTCTGCTTACGCTTCACTCCATCTGCAAGGAGACATATATAATGATGCTTTTTATAAATATCACTTTGCCTACTAGTGATTGGGAGAACGAACCTTTTCGAAGCTTCAAATCAACTGAACCAATTGCTTCGCAAAATAATTCACTGTTTCGAAGCGCTCTAAACATCAAATGCTAGTGTCAAAATTGTGTAAATGCAACAAAAACTCAGACTAAAACATGCTTAAAAACAACTTTTAAAAACCCAAATGCTTTATTAAAAGTATAACACATTAAATGCTATAAAAATAATAAAATACCATTAAATATGAAGTTTCTGTATAATATGTGGTTTTTAAAATATTTTATATTAATTTGCAGAGCTTGTTTTGTTTGTTTTATGGAGAGCTTGTAAACAGAGGCCAGTAAGACACTATTAACTACTACTCATCCTTTTAATTACACCAATGTCTCGTAAATTTGTCTACAAATTGATGAAACTGATCCGAGATCAGGTAAAAACCATAGACGCTGGTTTAATGGTTCGCTGCTGGGGGGCGATCTCAATGAACTCCCATGATTCACGGGTTTAGAGAGATCGCCCCCAATGGCAAACCACAAAAAAAAGAGCCCATCACTATTGCCTACTAGTGATGTTCGGTTCTTGAACGAATCGTTCTTTTGAGCCGGTTCTCAGGAAGTAACCGGTTGAGCCGGTTCACAAATCGAACTGAATCGAACTTTAGTTCCGGGTTGATGACGCGGGACGCACAGCCGAATTATCACGTCCAACTCAAAAAGAACCGAATGAGCCGCTTCAACCAACTGTCGAAGTTTGCCGAGGATTACCGAAGATTCTGATGAGTGAGTTGACGATACTGAATCAGAATCAGAATGAGCTTTATTGCCAGGTATGTTTACACATACGAGGAATTTGTTTTCGTGACAGAAGCTTCCACAGTGCAACAGAATGACAGTGACAGAACAAAAAACACAGATAATAAAAAATAAAAAAAAATAAAAAAATAAAAAATAGAACAAGTAAAATAAGGAATACAAAATATACAAATCGACAATTGACAGTTGTATGTACAGGTATATTATGTGCAAATTGAAATGTAGACTGAGTATGAGTGTTAGATAAATAAGTGTATGAGTGAATAAATAGTGTGTGTTCCACAGTTATTGTTAAGTGTTCATGAGATGGATGGCCTGAGGGAAGAAACTGTTCCTGTGTCTAGTCGTTCTGGTGCTCAGAGCTCTGTAGCGTCGACCAGATGGCAACAGTTCAAAGAGGGAGTGTGCTGGATGTGAGGGGTCCAGAGTGATTCTGCCAGCCCTTTTGCTCACTCTGGATAAGTACAGTTCTTGGAGAGAAGGGAGGGTTGTACCAATGATTCGCTCAGCAGTCCGGACTACCCTCTGAAGTCTTCTGAGGTCAGATTTGGTA